CGTCTGTCTCTGTCTCCCCCCTCTTTATATCTCGTAGGGGGTCTCTCCGAAGGTCCCGCCACTTTATATCCTCTTTCCAGGCTCAGACGCCCTCTCTGTGTATCCGTCTCTCTCTCCACCTTTCCCTGTCCCCTTTTAAACTCCATTTCTCTGTGAGTCTACCAGTGTCTCTCTGTCTCTGCTTCTCTCAAGTTTCTCTCCGCAGCTCGCATTAACTCTCTCTCCTCAACCCCTCTCCCTCTCTCTGGTCAACTCCGCATCTCCACGGTCTCCCAGCGGAGCACTCAGTACTCCGGGTCCTTCTGCGTCTCTCACCCCTTCCCTCCCGTCACCATCTCTCCCAGCCTCTCCTTCTCTCGTCCCAGTCACCGGGCACCACCTTCCCCCGCCCCTCCCGCGGCTGTGGGTGTCACATTGCAGCCTGCGGGGTTCCGAGAGCAGCTGACTCCGCGTTTCCTCGCCCCCGGCTGAGCGCCCGCAGCCGCGAAGCTGTGCCAGCCGGGCCCCCGCCGGCTCGGGCCCACCCGCACTTCCACCGCCCCTCCAGCCCCGCGCGCACAACTTCTGAAGGGACTCAGCCGAGCCGGGGGATGGGCGAAGGCGGCCCTCTCCCCGCTCTCCCGGGTCCCGAGCGCGAACCCGCTGCCTGGCGGTGCCCTGCTGTGCCCCCCGCCGCGCGTCCCCTGCGCACTCACCCAGCGCTGCCCCGACCACGAAGGCCAGCAGTGTCTCCATGACTGCTCGGCGCGCGCTGCGCCCCTCTTCCCGGCCGCCGGTATTAATAGCGGGGCGAGAGGCGGCGGGACCTGGCGGCGGTTAGAATGTCCCCGGAGCGCGCGGGCGCAGCAGCTGCGGCTCTGGGACCGGCGAGGGGGGGAGGAGAGGGGGGGCGCGGCCCCCCCGCTCCGGTTACCGCCGGGGGCCCAGCCCCGGGGCCCGGCGTCCGGGCATCCCCGCCGCGCGGGCGGCAGCCGCTCCTCGAGCTGCTGCGCGGGCGCGCGCAGCGGAGCGCATCCACTAGATGCCCCGACCCCGGCCCCCTCCGGCCCCAGCTCTCCTGCGCGGGCCGCGCTCTCCTGCGCACTGCAGCGGCGGCGGCGGCGGCCCGGGAGGGAGGAGGCAGAGGGAGGGGGCGGGATGAATCACCGCGGGGGGAGGGCGCGGCCGCCCAGCCTTTGCCGCAGCGGCCCGGGAGGCGCCCGCTGGACCGGCCTCTCCCGGTGGCGCAGGGACCGCGGCTTATGGGCATCGGCACACGGTCTGGGTGTCGGACCGCTCCAGACGCTGGCGACCCCCCGGATCGGAATCTGGGAAAGGTCACCCCCAGAGTTACAAGGGGATTGAGAGGGAGGTTTCGGGGCAGGGCTTCAGACTTCAAATTATGGAATAGAGATCATCCTCAATGGGATCCAGGGGTACTTGCTGGGACCTCCAAGTGACCTCCACCCTCATATCCCTGGCATCAGGGGAACCCAAGTGTGCATGGGGGTGGTGGGGGAGGTGTCAGGCTACGGTTACTGATAATGCTCCAGACCCCTCCCTCCCAGGAGGGACATTCTGGATCCAAGCCAGAGGCTGCCCTGGGGGGCTGGGGTGCCATCTTTCAGGAGGAGGGCCCTTTTATATGCCTCCTCCTTTGTCTCTGATGTCATCTTCTACTCCTCTCTCCCCACTCCCAGCTGGCTGTCCAGGTTCCAGCCATTCCCAACACACCAGGCCCACTCCTGCCTCAGGACCTTTGTCCTTGCTCTCCCCTCTCTGCCTGGACCCTTCTTCCGCAGGTGACCCAAGGGCTCACTCCAGCTCCTCCCGCAGCTCTCGGCTTCAATGTCACCTTCATTAGGTCTTCTGTCCATTCCAGGGAAACTGCTTCCCCGTCTTACTTGACCTCCTTTACTTTTTCAGATTTTTTTTTTTCCACATCAGTTGTCACCAGACATTGTACTTCTCCTTTAAATAGTTTCTCTGTTCACTGCCTGTCCCTCCAACCCTGGAATATAAACGTTCCCAGGGTGAGGACACTCTCCTGTGCACCAGTGTCTCCGGCATCTTGAACTGTGCCTGGTACATTGCAGGTGCTCAATAAATATGTCATACTTGCATGGATAAATAAATGCCAATGCTAGAGCCCTTGTGATATGCTGAATCCATTTCTACCTCCCTAAACATTTGCAAGTTCTATTATCCCCCATTTCACAGAATAGGAAAACTGAGGCCGAGTCACACTCCCTTGCCTAGGGTCATGCCCCTGGCCTCAGGTGAAATCCTACCCTGTGATGGCAGGTGGCCTGCCCCAGCAGTAGGTTCTGCCAAATGGAGAGGATGGGGGTGAGAGGCTCTGGGCTATCAGACCTGGGTGGGAGTGAAGCTTCTGGCAGGGGGTTGCTGTTCAGGTCCTGGCCACCAGTTCTGGGGTGAAGTTCCAGAATCCCCCTTGCCTAGCCCTGCCAGGCAACAGGAACCAGGGTGTGGGGCAGGTCTGGGGCAGAGAGGCACAGGAAGCCAGGGACACCAGACACCTTTGTGATCTGGGCCTCTGTGTCAGCACCTTCTGAGCTGTGAAATTCCTCTGTAGAAAATAACCTTCTTGCTGTTCTGACCCCTCCCTCTGGCCGGGGTGGCAGGCAGGGCAGGTGGAGGTACGATGGGGACAGGCCTTAGGCACTGGGCAGGGGCACCTACTGACAGCCCCACAAGCTGATGTTCCCTAAGCACCTGCTACGGACTTGGTGCTGCTCTGTGCACTTGACTCACATTAACTCATCTAATTCTCCCTACAAGGTCAGTATTACCATTACACCTACTTTACAGGTATGGGAAACTGAGGCTCAGGGTGGGTAACTTGCCACAACCACAGAGCTAGAGGACTGGAGAGGCTGGCTCTGCTCTTCACCACCTGTGGTCCATCCTGCCTTTATCCAACCTCTCGTCCAGTCCTCTGCCCCAAGCCATCAATTATAAAGATTCTTACAGCCTCTCTGTGACATGGCGAGTCTCTCTATCCCTCACTCACTCTGCAACCAGCACAGGGTTTGAGTGGACAGAACTAGGTTCTACCTGGACTAGAGACTTCGTGTCTAAGCCTATTTCCTCATCAGTAACACAGGTCCAGAAGGCCTCAACCTGGATGGGCTGTTGTGCGGTCCTGAAGGGGTTAGGACCTTGCATCTAAATGTGGAGCCACCAGGGGCCAGGCTTGCAGCCCTTGCCTCCCTGCTGAGGGGCCTCAGGCATGTACTAATGTCTCCAACTCATGGAGCCACTGTGAGAATTAAATGAACATCAGACCATGGCACCTTAGCCTGCTGCGCACTTGGTGCTCACTACATGAGTTACTAGCCTCCACTCCATTTTTCTGCATTAAGAGTAACATTATTGAATACTCATTATGTGCCGGGCTGTTATACGGAGCCACATTAATTCCTTGCATCCTCATAAAGAGGTTCTCAAAGTGGGGTCTGGATAAGCACCATCATCACCTGGGAACTTGAAGTGCCGGCTGTCAGCCCATCCCAGACCTGCTGAGTCAGAAACAATGCAGGTAGGTCTGGCACTCTGCCTTTTAACAAACCCTCTGGTAGATTCTGATGCAGCTAAAGTTTGAGAACGACTCACTTCTAACAACCCTGGGACACTGGTGCTATTCTTATGCCCACTGAACAGAAGAGGGAACCAAAGCTGGGAAAGGCTGACCAGCTCCGGGTTATATGTCTGCTAAGTATCAGAGTTAGGATTTGAACCCAGGCCACGAGGCATTAGTGTGTCCTAGGAGCCCCTGCACTGGCCCCTGATGATGTAAAGTTTGTGTAAGACCTAGGCAACTCCAGGTGACATTCAGTGACTATGGCCCCAGAAAAACGGACAGACCCTCCCCTCCCTGCCGCAGTGGGATCTGAGTGCCAATAGGAGGCTCTCACTTGCTCTCAGGGCCCCAGAGGCACAGCCACAGCCATTTCCAACCCTTTATTGGGGCTCTGTCAACCCCAAATAAATATAATACATTAAACCCAGGGCTGAGGGAATCGTGCACCCCGGGAGGCGCCTCCCACAACCCCAGCCCGGCAAAATAAGTTAGCGGGAGGCCTGCTGAAGGCCAGGCCAGCTCCCTGGCTGGGCAGGCAATGGCAGCTGGACTCGCACACGCTGGTCTAAAGTGCATCTCGGTTCTGTGGTCCCCGTGTCTGCGTGGCCCCTGACTGGACCACTGGGCGTGGGCAGGAAGCTCCCGGAGCTCACACCGTGCCAGCAGTGGCTACCGAGGCTCTGTGTCCGTCTGTCCACTTGGGGAATCAGCTATGCGGCCTGGCGTCTTCAGGAAAAGCTGTCATCGGGCCGTGGCTGGGAGTCGAAGGGAGGGTCTGAGACAGTGATGCCTTGATGTAGCTTCTCCAGCGAAAACTTCATCTGGGGAAAGAGGCGGGCGGGGTGGGGGGTGAGCGCTGGGAGGGGTGATGTCGCCCCCGTCCCCACATCCTGCAGTTGAGAAACTGGGGAAGGTCCAGAGCGGCCATGTCCCTTGCCAAAGTCACCTTGGAACAAGAGCGGAGCCATACTGGACCCCGTGTGACTTCTCACAGGTAGCAGATTAAAGGGGCCCAGATGGCCTGGGTTCAAGTCCCAGCTCTGTTACTTACTTGTCCCAATTGCCTCAGCTGCAAGATGGGTCAGTAACATACCTGCTTCACCAGGTTATGTCAGAGATCTGATGGGTGACCACCTAGGACCTGGCACACAGGAGGGGCTCCATGCATATTAGCTATTCTTATCCCCCGCTGTTTGACCTTGGGCAAGTCTGAATGGCTCATACCTCAGCATCCCTATGTGTTAGATGGGGGGACAACAAGAGTATCCCCCTCATAGGCTGGCCATGAGATGCAAAGCAGTTGGTCATTTTAGTACTTAGAACAGCCCTGCTCAATCAGTATTCATTTGAAAAGTCAATTCTGTGCCCATGGCAATTTGAGAGGGAAAAATGAGAATTTAACTCAGCATGGGGGAAGCCCTGCTTTCCCTCGCTCTGAGCAATGGGGCCCCAGCCTCAACACCCCTCCACCCTGTCCTGCACAGCCCTTCCTGGCATAAGCGTCTCCATCCGAACATGATTTCAGGGTGCAATGAGGCCCCTCTGGTGAGCCTCAGCATTACGACCAATAGTGACCAAACACGATTTTCACTGTCACCCACCAACTTGGGCTCTGATAGCCTTGGGTGCCCAGCCAATGCCAGCTGCTCCCCAGCTTCTCATGCCCGCTCCCCACCTTAGGCACTTACCCCAGTATCTGACATTTGTGCTGACTTGCCACATTTACTGAGCACCTGCTGTATGCCTGGCACTGGACTCACTCTACTAAGAGCAAAAACACATAAAGTGCTTTCTATGAGCTTGGCACCATTCTAACGCAAGCTCATTTAATCCTTACAGGTCTTTGAGGTACTGTCAATCGCTATCCCATTTACAGAGAAGGAAGTCAAGGTCCCAAGTCACTTGCACAAGGTCAGGTGCCAGAATTTGAACCTGGCTTTCTGAACAGATAGATGCTACCTCTGAACTACAGGGGGGGTATCGGGGGCAACTCCTTCTGGAGATGAGACCCCAACATCCTTTGGAGAACCTATCTCCCACCCTTATATGATCCCTTAGTCACCCCAAAGTGGGGAGAGGCTCAGGGACCTGGTTCAGGGAGAGGCATGTGGCCCCAGTAGCTAGTGAGAGGGAGCCCTTTCCTCTGGATGCCAGCCTAGAGCTGCGGTACCACCTTGGTCATCCTGCGGGAAAAAATGTCCCAAACTAAGCCAACCCTGGCGATGGGCCGAGTCAAGAGATGGTACCAGAAACCAATTCTTACTACCATGAGGCGGCTAGATCCAGCCATGCCTGAAGTCAGACACCCCTGGACTTTTTCCCTAGGATAAAGGCCAATAAATTCTTTCTTCCCTTGTGCTGATTTGTCCAGCAACCGTAGGAGATGGGGATTATGAATGGCTTTCCTGTTTGAACCCTAACAGCAAAGTCAGGGTTCAAACCCAGGCCTGCCTGAGGCCCAGCGACTTCTGCCGCGTCTTGCAGTTTGGGTGCAGGGTCCCACAGCCCCAGGGCCGCACCTCGTCCAGGAGCTCCACAGAAGCCCGCAGGATCTGTCTCCACTTGTGCACCTCGACGCTGTGGAACTGCTTCTGCAGGGCCAGGATCTCCGCCCACTCTGCAGCCGTCTGGGGGAACTTGCTGTGGGGGATGCAGGGCCTGAGTGGAGCCTTGGCCTCCCCGCGACCTGCCCAAGCTGCCAACCCCCTCAGGGGACCCACTCACCCCTTGGCCAGGGCCAGGCTGTGCCAGGACTCGAACGTGTGGGCTGTCCTCTCCAGGGACCAGAGGCGGTAAAAGAGGAGGACGTTGAGGGCGATAAGGACGATGAGGCTGGGGACAGGGGGCAGAGGTCAGTAGTTGGGCTATGATGCTGCCACAACTCAGGTACACACGCAACCACACCTTGAAGGGACACCACGATTACCCCCTTCTTCAGAGGAGGAAGCTAAGACTCAGAGACGGGGAGAGACATGCGTAGGGTCACACAGTCCATAAGCAGCAAAGTTAGGGTTCGAACCCAGGCTTGTCTGATGCCCACGCCCTTCACCACTACGCCAGACAACCTTACTGGGAGAGCCGAGGGCACTGAGTGGAGAAGGGGCTGCAGCCAGGGGCGAGACAGGAGGTAAGGGGAGGTACAGGATGCAGGACCCTACCTCACACAGATCCTGAGGAGGCAGTGAGGAGAAGACAAAGAGATGAGAGCTGCCCAGCCCATCCTCACCCCCCGACCCCACCCCTCAGCCCTGGCTCCCAGCAGAGCATGCCACACAGCCTCTCGCTGGACTGCTGCTGTCGGGAAACTGAGGCCAGCCCGGAGAGGCTGGGCATATGGCCGATCTGACTCACACCTGCCAGAGCCTGCCGGAAGCACGGATCTCACTTCCACATCCTCGGGGCGTCCTGCCCCTTCACCCCTCCAAGTCTTTGCGCAGGTGGGTCTCCTTGCCTAACCCTCATTTCTCAGCTGGGGTCTCGGATCAGGAGTCCTCTGCTTTCTCAGGAAGCCTTCCCTGCCTGCCCACCTGTCCCGCCTGGAGGAAGCCTTCGTTGGCCTCCCATGGCTTTCCCTAGCCAGGCCCTGTCCCCTCTGCCAGTGTTTCTCCCATCACAACCGCCGTCATTCTGGTCTGGTGCCAGGTCTGTCTCCCCTCAGAGCTCTCTGTCACTACTATGTCCCCGGCATCACCCAGCTTAGGGTTAGGCACAGAAAACATGAATGTGTAAGTGAAATTGCTTCTTTTACATACCTCTCCCAGTTCACCTAATTTTGCCTCCTTTGGGTGTCTGCTCCTCCAGAAAGCCCTCCCTGCCCCTGGGCAAGGTCAGGCCCCTCTAACCTCCCAGAGCCCCAGGGCGTCCCTCCCCCAGCAGGAAGACTTCTGAATGAGGAGCTGAGCAGTACACTGTGCGCTGAGCTCTGCTGGGCACAACCCGAACATCGGCTCCTTTAATTCTTGTTAGGAAGTCAGCCCACGCTCCCACTTAAGCAGAGGCCCAGAGAGGCCAAGCACTCACTCGAGGTCACACAGCCAAGATGCAGATCCAGGCCTGTCTGACCCCGAAGCCCGGCCCCCTTACTCACACAATGCTGATGAGCACCAGGGCGCTGGGGATGCCTGCCCCGGGGCCCTGGTCCACGGCCGGTTCTGAGAAGCGGGAGCTGAGGGAGCCTGCAGCAGAGCAACTCGGAGTCAGGCCCATCCAGCCCAGCCCACTGGGCCCTGCTTCTCTGCTGGCCCTGCCCAGGCCTGACAGACGCACCTGAAGTATGCATGCCAGCCCGGGCACAGGGGTCAGGGTCTGGGTGCTGGGGCCCGTCACCGTGACCCCTCCAGCTCAGGGGCCGCTTCCGCCTCCGAAGGCCTGA